GTCGATGACATCTTTGGAAATGCCGATACGCCAGAGCAATTAATTGAAGTGGCACTTTAACTGCGAGACCTCTGCAAGGCGGGCGGTTTCTCATTAGCAAAATGGCATGCAACTCATCAAGATGTAATATCCGCAATCAATACGGATCGAAATGACAACATCATACAGTTCGACGATTACCACACAAAAATACTAGGCTTGACATTGTCCCCTCAAGAAGACAAATTTACCTTTAACACCGGAAAGGCATGAACACAAGTAGACAAGTTGACCAAACGCCTCGTGTTATCCGAAGTGGCTCGGATATTTGATCCATTAGGCTTTGCTGCACCCGTAGTAATAAAGGCAAAGATTTTCATCCAACAACTCTGATTACAAAAGCTTCAGTAAGACGAAAAGCTACCACCGCAGCTTTTATCAAAATGGTCAACAATTAGAAAGGATCTTATTGACTTGACAGAAATATCAATACCACGGTGGCTCAATATGAAGACGACTTCCACCATTGAATCACATGGTTTTTCAGACGCATCACAACTAGCTATGTCCCCAGTGATCTACGTCTCCGTCCACGAGCCAGACGACGTCAAGACTACATTAGTCTGCTCCAAGACTAACGTCGCACCACTCAAACCAATGACAATACCCCGATTGGAGTTGACCGCGGCACTGCTTCTATGAAAATTAATGCGCTACGTTCAAGTCAAACTGAAAATGGATGTAAGGGCGACACACATGTGGACTAACTCGGAGTAACCCTCGCCTGGATAAAAACCCATCTAGCTAGATGGAAGGAGTTTGTGAGAAACAGAGTTTTCAGCGTTCAAGACCTCACCTCAGGTGCACACTGGTGATATGTTCCAGGTTAGTCAAACCCAGCAGACTGTGCGTCACGAAGCATAACAGCCTCCCATCTTCAAGAACACCCACTGTGGTGTACAGGACCACCCTGGATAAAATCACCTGAGTCATGGCCAAACCAGCCTGCATTGGACGAAAAACAATGCGACCAAGAAGCACGTGCCAGCACAGCACTCATAGCCACCGTACCTGAGCTACAATATCAATGGGGCCTAATACATAAAATTTCAGATCTCACAAAATTATTGCGAAGGACAGCACTCTGTCAAATCTTCATCGCACGATTGAAAAAAATCAGGAGACGACCATGGATACTACAGCCCTGAAGAAGGCAAGAATCTTCTGGACAAAGGCTACTCAATCCGCATATTTCCCTCAGGAACTGAAAGGTCTTTGCTCCAAGACTAAACAGTCAAAGAATCAAGCATTCAGTCGACTGTCAGCATACGTCGACCATCAAGGGGTAATCAGAGTAGGAGGAAGACTCGAAGAAGCAGCACTCACACTAGAAAACAAACATCCAGCTATTCTTCCTCGTCGATCACGACTCACAGATCTCGTCATTGAACAGGCACATTTACGCACCCTCCATGGAGGTACTCAACTCATGCTAGCATACATACGACAAAGATACTGAATTATTGGTGGAAGATTCCCTGTAAAAAAACACGTACTACAATGCGTTATATGTAAATTACAAAGGGGAATCCGCGCCAAACAGTTGATGGGACAACTTCCAATAACAAGAATGACACCATCAAGACCTTTCACACATACAGGAGTTCATTATGCCGGCCCCTTTAACCATAAAGGCTTGCAAGGGCCGAGGCGCAAAATCCCATAAAGCGTGGATTTGCGTTTTTGTGTGCTATGTGACATCTGCGGTGCACATCGAGATAGTCAGCGACTAAACAGCCCATGGTTTCATATCAGCATACAGAAGATTTACAGCCCATCGAGGAATCGCCAACATATTGCATTCAGACTGTGGTACAACATTCATAGGAGTAGATGCAGAACTTAAAAAATTATTTGCCAAAGGCAACGCCGAACATCAACGGTTAGAGAAGATGCTCTCGCAAGACAATACTCAATGGGAATTTAACCCACCCGCGGCGCCTTATATGGGAGGCAAGTTGGAAGCTGTCATAAAATCTGTAAAATATCATTTGAAACGGGTCATGCGAGACTCCATGCTGACATTTGAAGAACTTAACACCCTGCTTACACAAAATGCATTGTTGTCAAGTACGCCAAATGTTGTCGCTCTCATCGGCTAGGCAAAGACGCTTGACCAAGAATCAGTCCCCACCACGGCAACACCAGGAGAGGAAACAGCCATTTATGGCCTTTGACCTGCAGCATAGCGATTATTTTTAATGCAATAAAACGACCCTTGCGAGCTCACATCAAAACCCGACTAGACTGTTTATACTAGTATATTTTGAGGATTAAAATATTTCAAAACAATTGAATGGAAAACATTTCTTAAATCCGTTGCAACCCGAAACTCGGCACGCGCGACTATCGACATTCTGCGTCGCACGTGTGCCTATAATTTTACAAAGAATGCTATGCATTGTTGTCAAGCCAGCCAAATGTTGCCGCTCACATCGGTTAGGCAAAGATGCTTGACCACGAATGATCCCCACTACGGTAACTCCAGGAGAGGGGATAAAACTTCCAGGCTAGGCGTTGCCACAAAAGATGATCTTCCGACATCCCCCTGTTCATGCCTAATTTCCTCGGAAGTGGGAAAAGGGCGTGTACAATTAGCATAACTTCGGAAATCGGCGCGCTCTGTTTGGAAAACTAAGATCACAGCCTCCTTGAGTGGGGGCTCGTGGCAAGAGGCCTTAAAAGTAGGGCCAAGAAAGCGGAGGTCACTGTCCGCAGAGATAATTCAAGAAAAGGCTCGAGTGGGCAGTCAAGGGCTATCTTAAGGAAAGTCAAGTAATAGAAATTAATTGTCCATAGAAGCCAAGTCTAAAAATCACTCAACGCAGAAATGAGTGTTGGTAATTCATAGCAAGACTACTGCATCCTGGTAAATATAAGAGTCACGCTGCACGCAGTTGCTCTGCCGAGTGAAATTGTGTCCAACTCATCGCTGGATCAGATCAAGATTATTGCATCCTTCTGAGTATAAGAGTCACACCACACGCGCTAGCTTTGCCGCGTGCAATTGTGTCCAACTCACCGCAGGATCAGATCAAGATTATTGCATCCCTGTGAGTATAAGAGTCACACCGCACACATTCGCTCTGCCGCATCCAATTGTGACCAATTCATTCGTCGATCAGATTTAAACTACGATATCACTATGAGTACGCTAATACACTTTATCTATTAATTATTGTCAACCGGCGGCAGAACCGGCATAAGACAACCATCAACATTATCTCACACTCTCTGACAAGAAGTGTGCAGTAATTATTTACCTGTGCAATTTTCATCAATTCAACGATTTCAAAGCATCTTGTGTAGTGATTCATCCTATATAAGAACCCGTTCAAGAAATCGTATCTTCACATTAGACTCAAGAAGATTGCAAGACACCCATATGTATTGTGTAATTGTGTAATAAATTGTATAATAAATGTATAATTAACCAACTCTCACGGCTCTTGTACAGACCCTACATCTCACTCCTTCCCGAGCGTCTGCTACGGCGGGCGGCAAACTAAGCTATTGAAGCATTGGTAGTTCGAGCCAAGAATAACATCACTATAATTTCGAACAGAGTTATATATCAATTTGTATAACTATGCAAATTAAAACAATAATTTTGAATTTAAGTATAAATACTATATTTTATATTACTGTATAAACATTGTTAGTATGTATATAACAACAATTTTACTAACTGCACATTGTATTTAAAGATAGGAATATAATAGCGGTTAATAAAATATGTTATTATATAATAATAAAAATTGTTCTTATATTTATTAAACTAATATTTATTAATCACTAATACAATTATTAAGCATATTAATAAATGAATAAATGCATAGATAAATGAATATAACAAAATAATTAATTAAATAATTTAACAAATAGAAAAAAATATATTTTGTTAAATATCGATTTAAAAATGTTACCATACCTTTATAATTTGGCATAAATAAATAAATATTATTTTTCTTTGTACTGTACTTAAAATTATTGCTGATAATTTTTGGAATATTTTACATTTTGTCACTATAAAATTAGGTTTTAGTATAAAAATTAGATAATTATAAAATTAGGTTCAAGTATTAAAATATTTTAGTTTTTATTGTGAAGAATTTGTCTATCAGTTAACTATCATAAAGATTTCTTTTTTTGCTTAACTATCTAATTTATATTGAAAATTTATCAGTTATAATTTGAAGGTAATGGTCACAGTCAAACAAATCATACATTTAAATTTTATTTCTTCAACTATTTAATTTTTTTTTCATTTCAAATTTCTTTATCGATATCTCTATCCATGACAGTTTTCCAACTAAAGGTGTAGTTTGATTTTGTAAAAAACATATTCTATTTTAAAAGAATTTTGAGAAATTATTAATACTATGAATAGTTTTATAAAAATATATGTAGATACAATATATATTGAAAACTATTTTTACTTGAATTTATACAGAATATGTTTGATATCAATATAATTATCACAATTTTCTCTACCAATAGTAATTTTCTCTTCCTAAAATGTCATTGAATATAAATTTTCATTAAAACATTTACAATAATTTAAATAATCAAATTAATTTTTATGTAGTACTGAATTAAAAACAATCATTAATAGGCTCATTTCAGATTTTATTTTAAAAAGTACAAAAATAAAAAAAGGTTACAATTTTTTCAAATATAATAATATCTAATTATTTAAAATAATATTGCAATAATTATTCTAAATTTTAGATAATTAAAATTACATATATTTTTTTTTAATCAATTATAAGTAATGAATTATTTCAATTATGTACACTATAAAATATAATAAAATGATATAGCAGGTCTGAAAAATTTTATTAATTGCTATAAATGTCAGCTATATAGTTAATTACTAATTTTATTAAATTATATATACATGTATAGCATCGAACTTAACATTTTGTATGTATCCCAGTAAACGAAGGTCTGGCTTCATATTTAAATTTGATAATACAAATAATCTTTTTCTTAAGTTATTATCTCATGAATTTTATATAATAAGAGCATAATATACAGTTTTTGCTGATCTGATTTCTCGTAACCGTTTACAATGGCGCAAAGCTATTAACAAATTCAATTTTGTTTTGTCAATTTTTAATTTAATATATTTTTCATAATCATCCGATGTAAAAAAATAAAGATTTTCTATAATATAATAAAAACAATTATTTCATTGGAACAAATGATTATTGTAAAATATCCATTTAAATCAATTATAAACATACCTTCATCTATTCCAAGACTTGTTTGATCTTTCGTGTAATGTAAATATAAATCTAATTCTCCTTTTTTTCTTGCGGCATTTTTTCCTAAATTAATAAACGAATATTTTGTTTTAATAATTTGATTTATATTATATACTAAATTATTAAGTATTTCCAATGGATATCTTCCAATTATATATTTAGGTATTTTAATAAATTCTTCTTCTGTAACAATTTGTATTTGAGGTATTTCTGGCTCATTAAATAAAATCTTCTTGCAACTCTTTACATCACTAATTACGTGATTGTTAATATTATCGCTATTACACACTGTCATATTGTTTATGGTATTATTTACATACTCTTCTGTAGAATATTTGTTACTAATATTTTCAGGCAATTCAGAATTGATATATTCCTGAATTTTAGATGGAATATTATTTTCCATATGTTGAATTTGATGATCTAACGATTTTAATATTGTTGATAGTTCCTGGTTAATAAATATATATTTTAAATATATAAAATTATTATTTATTAATTTTTAATATATTGTATTACTTCATATAATTTACTTTGCAACGTTCATTATTGTCTTTCATTGTTTTGATATCTTCCTTTAAGAGTTGTATTCCATTTGTTATAAAACTTACTTCCTTATAAGCATGAATAAGATCATCGTGAATGATGTTTTTACCTAATTAATAAAAGTTAATTAGAATTTATATCTCTAATGATTAAAATAAAGTAATACATTTACTTCGTAATAGCTCTGTAGTTTTTTCAAGATCTTGAAGTTTTTGTGATTGCACAAGTAAAAGATTTTCCAGGGATGAGCTTATATGGTATGCTGCCATGATCAAATATAATATAATTTTGTTCCAACCTAAATCATTAATTTTTATTATTATCATTATATTATTATATTATATGATATATTATATATATTTATTTAAATTTGATATTTTTATTTTAAACAATATGAATTTCTTAAAAATACCAAATAAAAAGCAATTTGGTTATAAAGAAAAATAAACTTGGTACAATAAAAATTCATACACTTTTCTACTTACCAATAGTATTCTTATAACCTTAAATCATTCTTTGGTTATGTTAGCTAAACTTTTTTATCTTTTTAAAAGTAAATATTAAAATTAATTTTGTACAATATTAAGTATTTAAAAGTTAAAAAAACTGTTATAATAAAAATTTAAAATTTTTTCAGCCAAATAAAGAATTGTAATTGTTTAAGCATAAAATAAACAAAAATTTTTATTAAAAATTAATTACATTTAATATTCTCATATGTAACTTAAGGAATGTATTACTATATATCGTATAACGTAACCACACTTCTGAATTAAATTAAAAGTAAAGTAAGGCACAAGTTTTATTGTACGTTTATTACAGGACCATCAATTATGCTAAATTAGAGCGCACAAATTGTCATAATGTTTACGTTCTAAAATATGTAAGCTTACATTTGGTATAACAAATATTAACAAATATTGATTATTATTATTATTATGATTATTTGTAGAATACAATTCAGATTAAAGTTATAAAAGTGTATGTAGTTATAAATATAGTTATTAGAAATAAATGACTCGTTCGACCATTGGGTTGCCTTGTCAGATCTAAGATATTCCAAAAGTGGATATTAAGCATAGATAAATCTTCTATACTGATATAATAAGTTATGTTAATTGTAAATATAAACTATGTTAATTGTAAAATTGACAATTAATAATCACTTATACTTCCAGTTTCAGAAGAGAATTTGCAAGCTTTATAATTAGAAAAGAAAAAAAATAGAAAAACTGTATTTTGAAGTACTAGTGATTTCTATTCAAGTTTGATGTATCAATTATTAAACGGTTGATAAAAATAATCGAACTATACAGATTTTTTATTTCAAATTATGTATTTTAATATTTCCAAATAATATTTCAAAGATTTTTTATTTATGAATTTTATAAAATTATATCTTTTATAACTATTATCAATTTTATTTATTTGAAAATTAAGTTACGAAAATTGGTTTTTATAATTATAAAATATATAAAATCTTAAAAAATTAAATATTAAAACGGTCCTCAAGGTTTTCATTAATTATATATACATATAATGGTTATTTGATATTTAACCAAGACAATAACTACTAAAATGATTTCTGTTAATAATTATAATCATTCTCCATTATTAAAATTACTGAATAAGGATAAGTTAATAACCGAAAGTATTTAATAAAATTACACGAGATAGTAAGTCTCAAATAATAACTTGTAACAGAAAGTTATCTATTGCATAGATTACACTCACATATGGATCCTTTTATTAAATAAAAAAGAATATAAATCTATTTACAGTTAAAAATCTTATAATATTATTTCTGAATCCAAGACTAGAAATAGTTTTATGTTGCTATTAAAAAATACACATTTCATATATAAAATATATACCACTATATACTACTCAATAGTTAACTAAAATATACGAAAAAAACTTCAAAAACAAAAACTTCGAGTTATGATAAAAGGAAAATAGATTACAACAAAAATTACTGAGCCAAAATTTAAACATTAGATATTTAATATATAAAAATTGAAAAAGTAATCCTTTTGAATATTTTTAATTATATTAATACATTTTATATTTTAATATTTGAAATAAAATAAGTTTGTGTATAATTAAAACAATGGAAATATATTATAAAAGAAAGAATTAATTATGATTAATGAAATCTAATATAAAATCGGGTAATGTAAAGAAAAAGATATATATATAAGATATATATAATTAAAAATTTTAAGATAATATAATAATTATGAAAGTTTTTGTTTTATATAAAACCCAGTGGGATAAATTTTATTATGTTTAGAGATCATCGTTAGATACATTGAAGAAAGAGAGCGAGAGAGAAAGAGAGAGCGCGCGCGCGAGAGAAAGCAAGAACGCGAGAGAAAGCGAGAGAGAAGAGAAATTTATATTTTTATAATTTTACTACATCGAACCTAATTTTTTAATTTATTATTTTTAATTTTAATATAAATTCTTCTATATTAACCGAAAATGTTATGCATAAATATCAAAGCTATAAACATTAAAAATCTAAAGCGAAGTAATCAGTCATTGTATGCCAATTCTATCCCATCTCCCCACTCCTATGATTATAGTGCATAGTATATTCACTTAATTTAACTTAGTTTGGTAGCGACATCTTTTATAGTCAGTGTTATCAGAAGCCAAATTGGTAAGTCATTAAATATGATCTGTTTTTAATTTATATTAAAAGTTACTTGTTTTATATAAGCATTAGTCAAGCTTAAAATGCAGATTGTATATGAAAACAAATTTGCCAACGTATCGCCCAACCTAACCTACTTTCAACTATATGATATTACGATCAGACCATATATAACAGTGTTGCTAAACAAGATGCAAATAAGATAAATGTCAGCCAGCTTTTATTAATTTGATGCTTGCCGAATATAGTTTTAATTTATAGTTCGATACTACTACTTTTAAATTTAATTGTACTGATTAATTAAATTATATTCCTGGTGCTTCAAATTAATATAGCTTGCAAATATATAGATCTATGATTCACTAGTTATTGGGAAAAGTAATTAGTTGTACTGTTTACAATTCCCGTAGATTATGTACTAAAGAATACATATCACTTATATATTCAATTCAAATTCTATATTTTATAAAATAATTGTGTTAGTATTTAGAAATATAAACGATTGAAAGAGAAAATAATATAAATCAATGAATATACTTTGCTAATATTTAAAATTAATAAGGAAAAAATATAAATGAGTATTGAAATTTTTTAGTAACTATTAAGAATTTTATCGATATTAGAACATAAAAATAATACGAAGGTCAATAGATTCGATTTATAATGGATTGCACTATAAAGTACTTTGAGTATTGAAGAATGTTAAGAATATATTTTTTTAATTACAATTGCACTTTTACAGAATATAATAGCAGTACCATGTCGGCTTCACAGTATTATCATATACAGGTCAGTACATTATAAAATTCAAGTTTAAACTAAATTAACAATTAAAATAAATAAAATCACAGAAATTAATATAATAATGTTTTTATTTTTAAAATAATCAAAACATCTGATTTATTACAATAAATATAATATTTGATATATTAAAATATGTCATGAAACTTCCAACTGTTTAAGACTTAAAAAAATATATTGTAATTAAGTAATATAAATGTGGTTTTTAACTTTCATTAATAATAATTATATTTCATAATACGCATTTAAACAAATCTTCAAATATTTAGAAACTAATATTTACGAATATGTATAAATAGTATTTTATAATAAATATACACTTGTTCTTTGATAATTTAAATTAAAATTAACATAAAAAAAATTGTTGACAAAAAAATATGATAAAAAAATATAATAATAAAACTTGAGCACCAACAATTATTTTTATTATTTAGAATAAAAAATTCGAAAAATGAATTTTTTATAAAAACATTATATTATATGCTATTGAAATAAAAAATATATTTGAGAAATATATTTGCGATATAATAGATTTAATTTAAAATTACATAATTTAAAAAATTATTTAAAAACTGTTAAATATGTTAAATAAAATATGAATATTCTCTAGAACATTCATTTTAATATAATTTTAATAATTAAATAATTCGATTTATTGATTTATCAGATCACCTTTGTCAATTTTTCTGAATATATATTTAACAAATACACATATCAAATTTAATTAAAATTGTTATTATTAATATTAAAATTGTATATGTTTGGATTAAAGTTCATCCTAGAATTAAGTAAATAACAAAATATGAAATGGACGATAAAACATAGTTATAGTAATTAATAAACGTAGATTCATATAAACAACTGAATGTTTACGTATTACGATCCTAAATGTATTTTTGCTGTTACTAATTTCTTTATTGCACATATTCTTTGTTACTAATATTGAATATTATTAGTAATGTATTTTTACTAATAAAAATGCATTTTTATTAATACATTTTCGAATTGTCATGTTTATTAGTTGTAGAATCATAAAGAAAAAAATTATATAAAATAGATTAGAAAAACTTTATAATAAAAAATGACACGTTAAATTTTATACATGTTTTTATTATAATTTGTTGTAAATAATGTAGATATATTAATTTTATAAATCATTCATATTTATTTTTCACTTCTAATTGATTTTTAATAATTTATATTTTTCTTTTAATTGAGTACTTCTACTGTTTGTTGAATAAATAATTTTAAATTAATTTAAGTATTACAAATTTTAAAAATCCATTAGAGTTACCAATATTACTATATTTTGAAAACTTTATGTATGTACATAAATATGTATATAATATATATTGTTTTAATCTAGTGCACGCCCACTGTTTATCCTGCTGATCCATTTGATCCTGAAGCTGACGCTGAAATACTACGCAATGCAATGAAAGGATTTGGTACTGATGAGCGCACCATTATAGATATTCTTGCTCATCGAGGTGTTGTTCAACGTCTTGAGATCGCCGATAAATTCAAAACTATGTATGGTAAAGACCTTATCTCAGATCTTAAATCTGAATTAGGTGGAAATTTGGAGACTACAATTATTGCGATGATGACGCCTTTGCCTGAATTTTATGCAAAAGAACTGCATGATGCTATTAGCGGTGCAGGAACCGACGAAGAAACCATTATAGAGATTCTTGCGTCTCTTAGTAATTATGGTATTAAGACTATCTCCGAGGTTTATAAAAATAGTGAGTTTTCTATTCCTATAAGTAACTACTTTTAGCTACTGTATAAGCAACCTATCACTGTTAAATTATATTTAATTAAACTAAGAATTGTTTCTATTAATGTTCACAAAAGTTTTTAAAATGATATTAGATTTGATTAAGAAAATCTATAATATGGAAACAAATTTTTCTAGTTGTTTAATGTTAATAATTTATTAAAAATTCGGTATCTATTATTCATCCAAAATAAGTATAAATCAATGTATATTACTGCAAGATACATAAAACATTTGAAACTTATAACATTGGATATACAGAATTACTTATAATTGGTATGTCTCAGAAGACTATGATATGAATAATATATAACGCTTTAAAAATTATTTAAAATATAAAAAGTTTACCTGTTTAATTAATATTTTATTTTTATATCAGAGTATGGTAATGATCTCGAAAGTGATATCAGAGGTGATACTTCTGGACATTTTCAAAGATTGCTTGTATCTCTTTGCTGCGTAAGTATTGCAAAGTTTAAAAAAATATTTAAAATTAGCTATAATACAAATATTTATATATTATTTTATTTCTCAATTATCGATTATTTAACTTAAATATTCATAGTGATTATTTATAAATATGTCTAATATAATTAATAACCAAATTAATAACTGATTTTTCGAAATTAACATAATTAAATTAATTAATCTAATTAATTAAAATTATTTTGTAATTATTATATTATAATATTTTCTTTTAACTATATAAAATAACAATTAAAGATTATTTTATGTTTTTATTGTTCGTACTTTAATATAACGTATGTGATACAAATTTGGTATGATAATGATATGTAATTATCAAATTTTTTATATATTAACAAATTTATATTTGAATTTTTACAATGTATAAATTATAACAAAAACATAATTATATAATTGATATATGTTTCAAGTCATATTCAAAACTTAAACTAAAATATATTTATAGCTTATTTGACTACTTAATTAGCGATCAGTTGAAATCAAATAAATAAAATAAAATAAAATAAATAAAATTGAAATTATTCCATTTTATAAAATATAATGTATTACATGCATAATATATTTGCAATTAAGAACATTTTATGGACTATATTATTGAAATGATTAAAATCATATTAGTCACTGTTTTTAAATTTTATACATCGTTTTAGAATAATCGAATATTTTTACAAAACTATAGTAATACATATTATGTTTGTATTATTCATGAATTTAATTATATCATTTCATTTAAATATATTATTTTGTTAATTTATCTTTGCATACACTATATAACAATACAAATTCTAACTTGTTTCTTATTTTTAGAATCTAAATATAAATAAAAATATATTTTTTAATATTAATATTAAAACTTAATTACATTTATTAACTTGTAATAAATAAAAGTTTCCTTTTATTTATATTTCTGAATTTGTCACTGTAAACATTACATTTATATTTACAATTGTTCTTAATAAAATAGAATTTTTGTATTATTAAGTTTATATAAAAGAATTCTATTATTTTAAAAAATACCTGCTGTGTATAACATTTATTATATTTATTACACTATTATACTTCATTGAAATATAAAATTCATGTTTAATACGTTTTTATATTAATTTGTCATTTTTAATATAAAGAATAATATAATAGACAATTATTATTTATTTATTATTTTATTTGAATATACTTTTTTTATAAATAAATTTTTTTATTTGTATAAATCTTATGAAATAAATGATATAAAATAATTTAGATGTATATACATAATTATAATCAATAAATCTAAGTTTATTAAATTATATTTCTTTAAAAGGTTAATTTTTAAAGAATATGCATAATTATTGGTTTTTAAGTTAAATGCAGAATCGATTCTATAGTATTTTATATATATTAATGAAATGTTCTAACTTGTTTCATAACTATATATGTATTTACTTTTATTCCTTATTTATTACTTATTTTATTAAGGATAAGGAATTGATAATAGAGAATATATAAATCGATGGAATGACGATTTTTTTTTGTTAGTAATTGTATATTAAAATAGAACTATAAATAAAAATACACAAATATTAAAATGAAATTTACGATAAATTGGAAAATAATCGTCTTGACTATTTGATATAAATTATTTCAATTATGCCATTCAAATTAATATTCAATAAATGGAATTAATTACAGGCTAATAGAAATGAAGATCCAGAAATAGACGAAACAGCGGCCGCGACTGATGCCGAAAAACTTATAGAAGCCGGCGAAGGACAGTGGGGGACTGATGAAAGTACCTTTAATGCTATTCTCATGACAAAGAGCTTCCCACAACTTCGTAAGATTTTTGATACATACAACTTGATGACTGGTAATACTATTGAAGATATTATTAAAAGTGAATTTAGTGATGATCTCAAAAGTGGATATCTTGCTGTCAGTAAGTATATATGATGACTAAAAAATTTTTATTAATAAATCATTTAGTTATATACAACATCGTTAAAAGTTTAATTTAAATATATTTGCTAGCTTAAGTCTTCAATTTAAACTCAATATGATTTAATAAAATTTAATATTACAATCAGTAAGTCAATAAATTTTGTTGTTTATAAATAATATACGAGTGATCTAAGGTTTATATTTTTTACTTTTAATCATTTTTATCATAAGCATTATTACATTTATTTATATTACATGACTATCCTTATTGTTAAATTATGAGACTAATGGTATAATTCATATTATTTTAATAACAGTTTTTACGAATTGATATAAATTTATAATTTAAAATATAATTTCCATATTTTTACAATAATATTGTATGTTACAATTCTTATATATAAAATTGTAATACAGTTTCACTTTATTTGTACAATTTAACATTACAATTTAATGTAATTTAATGATAATTTAAATAATGTCACTATAGTATAGCTATGTGTATAATTATGTTCCTGTAAAGAAAGTATAAATTATATCAAAGTTATATTGATATTATAAATTTTATTAAATAACAAAAGTATTTAAAACTAATTTTGAAAATTGTTTATAATTTTTAGATTTTTACGTATTTTATTAATTAAATTTAGTTCCAAATATATGAAAATTTATTTGAAATTGTTATTACTATTGAACAAATTAAAATTTTTTGTATTACTAGTAAATTTCTTAACGTTAGGATAATTAAAACAAAATATATTTTATCAGTACTAAGTACAAATAACAATCTCCGTCTAAATAGCATTTGTAAAGGTCTATATTTATTTATGAAACACAGAAAGAATATATTTTATTGTTTCCTTTATTTGTGTTATAACAAAACACTAATGCGTTTGAAGTACCTAAAAATTTCTTGTAGATGCAAAAATATTTTGAATGTAAATATCAATTAAGAATAATTATTAGTTACTACAAAATTCTAAGTAAATAACACTGTTTTATTCTATGATTAGATTTCTATTTGAGACTGGAGCACATCCATTACAATTGATTTTATTTAAAATTATCGGATTGAAATTAATTAAATTATTGTTATATTACAATGGCTTAAGAACATGGTATAAGAAATACATAGACAGAGGTAATAAAATATATTTAGAACGGGCACTGAAGTAGGTTGTAGCACAATAGTTATTGTTAACTCAATGAAAAGTCATTTGTAAGAAAATTTATTAAAAAAAAAAATTCTTTAATTTCTAATGAAAATATTATATGTATGCAGACGATAAATAATTATAAAATAATTAAATATTCATATTAAAATAAAATCAATGCCTAATACGTAGTAATAATTTTATAGTAAGATGTGCTTGCGATAAAACTAAGTACTTTGCCAAAAGATTAAAGCATGCCATGAAAGGCATGGGAACAACTGACAACACACTAATACGAATAATTGTAGCACGCTCAGAAATTGATTTAGGTGACATAAAGGAAAGCTATGAAGAAAAATATGGTACCCAGCTAGCTGCAGATATTGACGTAAGTTTCATAAATATTTTGTAAATATTAAAACTAAAATAAAATAAGTTCATTATTCTTATTAATTCCTTTCATATTTTATTATTTATATTTCTTTTTTGTCTGTGTTGAAGTTGAAAGAAGTGTTCGAATGATAATATTAGATACAAAAATTACGTTAATGTAAAACTTAAAGGCATTATCTAAATAAATTGTTCAATTATATTTTTAATTGAAACAATAGTAACGAATAATGATACTTACTAGAGAACAATTATTTTGAAATTTAAAAAAAAAAATATTTTTATAAATGAGAAGCTAAAATCGTAATTTTCTAGCTTTTCTTTTATTAGTAAATACAAATATTTTATAGATTTATGAATAATTAATGTAATTATAAATACATTAATCTAATCTCTAATTAAAATCATTTATGTATTTATTACGAGAAATAAGCTATGTTATTGTTATTTCTTCAAGATATATATAAATACAAAATAAAAGTATTGAATTTCAGTACAATACAAATTCTACATATAATGTATAAATTCTTAAAAAAGTATAAATAATTTATATAATCCACTTTTTCTAGAAATGTGCATTTATATGAACATCAAATAATTTTATTATCAAACATGAATTTGAATAAAAGTTAAATTTGATTTGAAATGATTGCATATGTATTAATAAAATTTATAAAATGTGTGAAAATAATGTATAATAATATTTCTAATGCCAATTTGAATTAATTTTGATCTATGGGTAAAAAATAAAATAATACTATAAATATTGAATATTGGTAATTTGTTCATTAATATTCAAACGCATATTTCTAAACCGAATAACAGTCATTCATTAATATAATATAATATAAATAATGTATATAAAAGATCGATTATATAATTATTTATTTTCATGGTATATTAATCCAATTGATAAAAATGTATACTATGGCAAATTCTAAATTTGTAGTATCTTTTTACAATATTTTAGTATTTTATGGTATCTTCTTAAAGTCAATAAGCATTTAAGCACTTCAAAATTTAATATAAAACTGTATTATTTTTTTTAGATCAGAATTTTAAATAGAACATGAAAATTGTTTTTTTTACATATTGAAAATGAAGAAAATTCATTTGAAATATTGAAATTTTATTTTTAAGTTTTAAATATATAACAAAAGTCATCTTTAAAACTATTAATTTTTCAACATTATTGATTATTCTTAATATATATTCACTTTTATTCTGCTTATAAACACCATCCTTTTTTAACGGCAATCAATTTCAGGATGACTGTTCAGGAGACTACAAGAAACTATTACTTACTCTGCTTGGATGAAATGATGAATCACACAAGTGATTAAATAAATACAAAAAAAGAAAAAAAAATAACTACGTTCACCTATATTTTTATTATTGCTTAATTAGCGTACAATTTATTTGAATAAATTTACTTTGTAAATAATTATGTACTTCAGTAACATAATTATGGATTTAATACTATAAAATATGCTGTAGTTTATATAATGAATTTATATTCTGAACAGTATTCTGCATAATTATCTTTTTTTTTTACATAAAAATTATATTATCCTTATTAACTTTATTTAATGAAAGAAATTAACACAATTCATTTAATTGAACTTATAAAAATATGTATGATAATACGTTAAACATTCATGAATAAAGTAAAAATTAATGCAATACTATAATGTACTGTATACATAATACCCTTGTGAATCTTTTTAAAAAACGCATAATCTAACTAAAGTGTTTACTTAGATAAGAACAAAAAATAAGTTTTTTTTTAATATTCATTTAATCGATCAACTTATTAAATTTACATAATATTAAAATAAATATGCTTCTACAATTTAACTTGAATACAGTGATAAAGCCAAAGAATTAAAAATATGTATGTCATATAAATGTATATTAAAAATTTGTATATTTAATTTATTACAAATGTTAATATTTAATTATAAAATTTTAGTAGGTTATGCGTATATATGATCCATAAAAAAATATATTTTTATATCAATTATTTCAAAGTGCTTACTGGATATTTTTCGTTACAATTTATAAACGATTCAAATAATATTATGAAAAATATTTATATACATACCTACTCTAACAATTTTAAGAAACTTTCTGCGTGTTAAACCAGAAAAACTAATTATTCATATATCATTTCATGCATCTTTTAGTCTTTTAATATATATCGTATCTATATTTTTCTTAATTCAAGATAAACATTTATATCAATATATGATAGATATGTTTTAATAAATAAATATTGTTGAAAAAATTTCGGAAAATAGTTGTAATACGATAACGTATAAAGTATAAATTAAAAGAGAAAGTTATCTAGAAAATGCTACTATTCGAAAAATTATAACTTGATAAAGTTATTAAATATAAAATTGCATTAATTTAAACAGTTAACATTTATTATAATATGGTGTCGTTCAAAATATGAAATCAATTTATATAATTTATTAATTTCCGAGTTAAGATTCTTCATTATACGCCTTGGTGCCTTTACTCAATACTCTGAAAGTAATTCTTTGTATTATCTTGTTTCTGCACTAATCTATTATATATTAAGTTTTATATATTTTTTAAAACGAATATTATTAATTATTTGTTACATAAATTTAATACACTATAGCAGATAGTTTGTTACCAAATTAAAACTATATTTGAGCAATAATCTGATAATTAATTTATTCATGGGTATTTAAATATATTGATATAAAACCAAATAATGAGACCTCAATTATTATTATTAATATTATTATTATTAGAAGTATATATCTGCTTTTAATATGCAATTAAAACTTAGTATTAGAAAATATTTATAAATAATTATATCGTTTAAAAAATGTTTTAATCGATAAAATTATTTTATAATAAATTTTAAAATTAGAATGAAACTGTAATAATTTAGTCTATTGAATTTTTATCTTAATGTTACCTATTAAATTTTCTTATTAAATAATAGATATTATTAGATATTAAAGAGCAGATAGAGTAAAACATTTGATCTATCATTAAATTATCGAAAATAATAATTAAATTTCTTTTAAAAATATTTTTCAGAATGATTGCTCCAATGATTTCAAAAGGCTTCTTATTGCACTATTGAATTAACATTATATATGTTTTTCAAGATTACTGTATAATGGACTATAATTTTTATAAAATTTGTCAATAAATACATTATTACTCCAAAACAAAGTAAAATTTTTGTATTTTTTAATAATTCTTAACCTTTCTTTAAACAACTATTATAATTTTTTACAAACAAAATTTAATCGATATCGGATGCAATAATATGAAATCATTATTAATTAAAATCTAGCCGAAAGGAGATTATGTTTCATTAAAAGTTTGATTAATAGTTATTATGAAATTTTCAATGACTAATTATATATGACGAATAATCGGTAGGATTACTTAGTAAAAATATGCGTGAATAGATTATTAAAAAAAAAAACGTATCTTGATATAAACATAAGTTTTTTAAGCTTAAAGAGAATCTTCAAATAGAATAAAACGAAATTTATTCAATTCGATAGATTTAAATAATTTGAAATACAAAAATATATAGCAAGTCAATCATATAATTAATATTTGAATTTAAATTATAACTTATATAAATTACTAAATTAAAAATATAATTAATTTTAGATAAATGCAAATAAAATGAATTATATTACTTATTGTATTTTAATTTTTTGATTATGAAGAAAATATAATAAAATTAAAAAAAAACAAAAATTTATATAATGTATAGTTAAGAGATGACCTTGGTTAAAACATATGGTATTAATATGAATAATTTAATGGAAACATTGATTTTATATATCGATATAAATAATAAATATTTTGGTGAGATGCTGCTTTATTTTAATATCAAAATATCAAGAAATAAATAATAGTTAAGGTAAGCTACATTACGAATAGACAGAGCAGGAGAAGTTACCTTATTTAACTTCAAGAAAATAATTTTTTATTTAAGTATTAATTTTGTATATAGCAATTAAGATTTTTTAGAGATACTATGTGATTTTAATAACAAAATATGTTTTCATGTATCAAGCATTGCATTTTTATTAATACAATGTCTTACTTTATTTTAGAGAGGATATTTTTAAGTTGTTCGGGTGAATGCTCTCACGTATTTATGTTCTTTTAGATAGATTATTTTTTTATTAGGACTTTTTTATTAGGAAGATTAATGGTCCATAGCTATAACACATAGGCATAGTTCGTTAGATGTCCCATTTTTGTAAGAGACATTTTATTTCTGCATTCACATAATTTAAATGAAATTGAAGGATAAATGTTGAATTATATTTGAAAACATCGATTTTTCTGTCAGCTAAATTATTACATTACGCATTTGCAAAGAAGTTAATTCGATAATAATTTTATTACAGTCAAATGTTTTGTATTAAGATACTATGTCTTAAAACAATTTCTTACTTATTTCAAATAATGTATCAGATAATAACCGTCTTCTACAATTTCATTTAGGACATATTTGATATATTTGAGTATTGGGACAGTTATCCAATTTTCTCTGTTTTTATAATTATTTGTCAATACAATTTCTTATCTTGAATACTTTAAAAATAATTATTATTCATTAAATTAATTAATTTTTTACAATTGTGAGAATTATAAAATATTATAAATAATAAAATAATAATAATAATATAATTTTACGTTAGCGACAAGTATTTTCACTATATACATTAGTTACAACTGTTAAGATATGTTCTGTAATGTGAGTTAGGTAAAAACGTTATATGAAATATTTATAAGAGAATCAAATTCACTATACTATTAAACTTTTTTTTAGTTTTATAATAAATTATACTATTTTTTCTCGCTTATTAAATTGTTAAATATCTGTATTTTCTACTACTTTTTAGACAATTAAAAAAAATATATAACTTTTCCAATTATTGAATGTTTTTATTTATTTGCTATTTTCATTTTTAGTTTATTCCCAAAATAATAACATAGACATGTTATTATTGTTTGTTAATTTTAGCAAAAGAATTACAATAGAATTGCAATGTTGTCGTCAGTGAAGAGGCATGTAAAAGAGTGCATAATAATAGAAAATAGGAATGTTGCTAATACTTGAATCTCTTACTATCACTATCATCTATGTTAATAGCAACATTATACTTTTATAAATAATAATTCTCATATAAATATTAGAATGTTTGCATATATGAGTGGTTTACATTTAATAGATCAAAAAATTACGAATATTGGATCAAGATTTTCGTAGACAAATTCTAGACAACTATTCTCGCTTATAAACAGATTACGTAACAGTGGTTTGATGATTTATCTAAATACTAAACATAAGTTAAAAATTTAATGCATATAAAATTAATATCTGATAAATATATGTCTTATAACGAGATGAAGTGGAGATTGGAAAGTATATTTCGGAATATATATATGCTTTAAATTTGAAGCATTGAATTTCTAAATCCAAAACGTAGATTCCGCCCACAAACATTCAATTTGTCAACAATACTGGCTAAATTAATTAGTTTATATACTTACAAACTATAAAAGATTAATTTTTTAATGTATAAAAAAAAATATATAAATTACATTTTATTGAGCAACAAGTATCAATACTTTATCGATCTTTTTATTCTAAGAGGTCAAAAACAATCTTTCTTTTTGTAAAAAAATTGAAGAAAAATAGATTAGTGGAATTTACAAAGCTAATTGTAATATAAAAGGATGTCTATAAAATAAAGTTTTTTTCGTGTTTTTTGTGGTACCTATTAATGTATGTTCAAATTTATTTACGTTCTAATTTCGGCTCTAAAACTAAATTATGGATACTGACTAAAGTTTTGTACAATGTATTATGAGTGATAAAATCATTATGATTGATTGAACTATCAGTCGAGCTGTATAAGACTAAAGTCTTATTAGTTGCCACCAATAATAAAATAAACCTTGTAATGATATTTAAAGCTGTAATAAAGTGTAATAAAGCATACTAAACTGAAGTGTTAGAAGACTATAAATAATATCTTAATATCTCAGATAACTTGTAGTAACTCATATAAACTACAAGCAGACTATCAGACTAAGCTCACTCATACAGTAAAAGTTCTCCTTGAATTCAGAATGAAAATGTTTTTTTTTTTAAATCTACAAAATATTAATGAGTGTTACAGAAATAAAGAAATTAACCACAATAATTGAAAGATCATATCCTACATTAGCAATCATGAAAAGTTTACATTTGGTTTAGTATATTGAAGAATTGGTGTACAAAAAATATAAGTACACCAAAGAATTTGATTTAATATTTTAAGATCCTCTAACT